TATACTGATTATAAAAGTATTTAAAGGATTCATACTTATAAAAAAATTAATGAACATTAACAACTTAATACTTTAAATACATTGATTAATATTACAGACATTTCTAAATAAAATAATTCAATTATATCAAATAATATAATTAACAATAATAATAATTCTTTAAAATTGCAAATTTCTTTTTAAGAAATTTCTTTAGCTTCAAATTCTTTAGATAAAATACCAATATTTTATAATTGTATCTTCTCAAATATACATTCAAAAATAATTATTTGAAATAATATCTATGTATAAATTAAATGTTATTATTAATTTTATTAATTGAAAATTCAAAATATTATAATATGAGAATATCATTGTATTAATTTGATTAGTCAGTTTATACTATGAAAAATATCAGTAAAAAAAGTCATGGCAATTGATTAGGAACCGTGATATAATTCTTAAATATTATGCAATTAAATAATCTCATTCTAAATATTACAAGTAAATAGGCATATAAGATATGAATATTTGATCATATAATTTATAGCATTGATGACAAAATTACACAAATCTTTTAAGCAGAGATGATGATTTTCTACGGTGATTAAGGAATTCTGCATGTGATAAAAGGAAATTCTGTGATTTGGCCAGAATTATGCAAGATCAGCCAACATTACGATTCGCAAATTCTGGCCAAACTTAATATCAGCCAGCATTACGATGATAAATCGGACCAAAATTTTGAAAATTATCATCCATATTCTGTGATTTCTTGTGAAATTCTTTGCTTTTGAGCCTAAATTACGCAATAATTTTTTTTTTATTTTCGCAATGATTTTTTTTTCAATACTTTTTGTATTGAATGTTTTTTCAAAAAATAAAAAAATATATTGACTTTTCAGATATTCTAATGATCATACATCGGTTTCCAATTTTAACCCATGAGTATATAGCCTTTCAGAAATATACAAATAATTCAAACATAAGAAGATTACCCGGAATATTTTATGTTAATGCATTTCGTTCAGAAATGCAAAATTCTCGTAAAGTAACACATTTGATAAATTATTGTAAAAGAAATAATTTAGATTTTTTAACATTTGATCATTATGCTCATGGGTTATCTTCAGGTTCAATTACTAAAGACATAAATAATGTTACAATTGGCAGATGGTATAATGATCTTTATAATATAATGAAACATGAAACTACAAATTCACAAATTTTAATTGGATCAAGTATGGGATTTTGGTTATCTTTGTTGACAATTTTAAGAGGGGAGGAACAGTTAAAAAAAAGAATAACCGGAGTTATTGGAATTGCTCCTGCTATTAATTTCACCGAAAACATCTTAAAGGAAGCTAAAGAAAATGGACAATTCTTGGATGGACAAATTACACCACCTGATAGTTTTTATCATAGACCATCTAAATATTCATCAACCGGAACTTATCCAATTTCATATTATTTTCTTCAAGAATCTCGAAATCATTTAATAGATCTTAAAAGTATCAGAAACAAAATAAATATTCCGATCGTACTTATACATGGTAAACTCGATTCAGATATATCTTATGAGGAAACTTTAAAGTTGGCTGATGCCTTAAAAAATGCTTCCGGTGATAATATAAGAGTAAAATTAATTAAAGATGGTGATCATCGATTATCAAGAGAACAAGATTTTAATGTATTAGATGAGGAAATTAGCAAAATGGCTTTTGGAAAGTCATGGAGTAAAGAGGAAAAACAAGATATTGTTACGTAATAATGCGTTTTATTATCTTTTCTAAACCTCTGGTCACATTTTCCTTATTAATAAAAAGCAGAGCACTTTCAACGTGTTCCTTGCTATAATTATTTAGTAATAAAAGTAATTTTGATCTAACAAAGAAAAGTATAAAAAATACCACGTTTTTCAAATTCTATTATACCATAAATTTAAATGGAAATCATTCTAAATTTATTCTGTTCATACAGATTTACAGATTTCCATAGTTGAAAGACAATTAAATCATTTAATGAGATTAATTACCCCATTCATGAGCGACCATAGATATTTGTCTATTGAAACACCAATTCTTGTTTGATAATTCTTTCCACAAGCCGTTTGATCCTTTTAACTTATTTACGGCTCCTTGTTATTCGTTTTCCACCTTTGCGCTCTTTCTGGTGTTGGATTGAATGGCAAGTACTTTTGACATTTTGAAATTAATACGAGAAACGAGCATAAGGACAAATTTACAACTATAAAAATTTCAATTTTCATTTTGAGCGATCAATGTTACGCAAAACTTATATATGGATTTTATCAGAAGAATTTACTTCATTTTGAAATATTGAATATTCAATTCCTTATTTATAGGATTGCTCATATCATTATTTAATAAATCCAATTTTTGGGGAGGGTTCATAATGCACATTTAAATTTATTAAATTTCATGTGAAATTAAAAATTTTTTGCATTGTCGATTAAAACGGGAAGAGGTCTAAATGTAATTTTACCGTTTCTAGAAAATTAACATTATGATGATTATAACTGGTCACGTGAAATTCCAAAGCACTGACTGATTGATAAACATCTCGTGTACTGATTCCCCAAAATTTGTGCTGACCAATGGCTGAAGCTGGGCTGAGATCTATATAGATCTTATATACCCGCGAATTTGTAATATTTTGATATGGTTTTAAATTTATCTTTTTTATATAACCGATATTAAGTTATTAAAATATCTTATTTTTAAATTGTTTACAAAAATAACAATATTTATTCAAAATATTTATAATGTCTAAAGGTGCAAATAAAAAAAAGTCGAACCCAATTTCGACGTGGAAAAATGAAAAGAGTGAGAAAACCATCGCGTATGAAATTCTTGCGAAAAAAAAGCCGGGAAAATGGACAATGCTATCAAACTACATTATTCAACGTCAGATTGGTAAGTTTCGAAGTTTTTTTTTTATATCATGTTTTCTAAATTAATAAATGCTTTTCAAGATACATGTGACACGATTTCTCTAATTGAATTTCTTTTGCGTTTAGAGTTACCTCTAAAAATTATAAGCGTAGTACTTTTATCTTATTTGATTAATCCTACTCCACGGAATCCTTTTTCTAAGTTTCTCTTCATATCATACCCTGTACAACAAAGTCCCTCAGATGAAATTCTATATGTGAAAGGATATTGGGACATCGCATATATTTTCTTCTGGATATTAGTATTCACGTTCATTAGAGAATTTACAATGCAATATCTGCTAAAACCTTTTGCATTATGGGCGGGAGTAAAAACAAAGAGAAAATTAACAAGATTTATGGAGCAAGGATACATCTTTATTTATTGCTCAATAACGACTTCTGTTGGCATAGTAAGTTAAAATTTTTATTGGATTGGTTGATCTTATCTTTATTTAGATCAAATTGAAGAACAAATATTATGATGAAGAAAACTAATTCTGTTTATCTTTCTTTTTCTGATAGTATATAATGATGCAGGGTCCTTACCGATATTTCAATACCAAATACTTTTGGATCGATTACCCACATTATTTAATAACCCCTCTTGTGAAAAATTACTACCTTATCCAATTTGGATTTTGGCTTCAACAAATTTTTGTCCTTTTGCTTCAACTCGAGAAACCTCGTAAGGATTTCCTCGAGATGGTAGCACATCATATTATAACATGTTTGTTGATTGGAGGTAGTTATATATCCAATTTTACAAGGGTAGGGAATACGGTATTCATTACAATGGATTTTTCGGATATCTGGCTATCGGTAAGTAGATAAATAATCATATAATCATGAAAGTAAGAGGAGGAAGGAAGGAAGAGATTTTTTTTTTATATAGTCAGAACCCGATAACCCGATTTTTTAAAGGAAAGTATTTAGTACTGTGAGGTTCATTTATCGGGTTTTGACAATAATGGCCAATAATTTCTCAAACAAAAAAAAAAGCCAATCATCGTTTAATCTTTTCTCCCCCCAAAAATTAATTTATTTTACCCATGTCCCTTCCTTTGGCTTTTATTTACCTAATTTTTAATGGCCATCTTTCTTCCTTTCTTTCTTACCATAATAGTTCGCCAAATGTCTCAAATACTTGGCGTTTCCAAACATCGTAACCGATATGATGTTTGTATTCTTTATGATTACTTGGGCATATACCAGACATTATCTTTACGGGATAATTATTTGGAGTACTTACGCTGAATCATGTTTACCAGAACTTAACAAATGCATTTGGGATCCGTTAAATGGGTATTGGTTAACTTGGTGGTCCAAGTATATCATTTTGTTCGGACTGGTACTACTGCAATTTTTAATGATTTATTGGTTCTCACTTATCATCCGTATCGCATGGAGAGTTCTTACCGGTAAAAATGCTGAAGATACAAGGAGTGATACTGAAGAGTGAGTAAACGCCGCCAATATTACGTGATTTAACTAAATGAATCAATTTTAACGTGAGCTTTTTTGTAAATTTAGTGATGATGATAACGTGACGGTGGAAAACCCATTAAATACCAAGAAAACAAATTAGCCTAAAAATATAGGAAAGTAAGTACAGTATATATGGAAGTGATTTTATTTTATTTTTTTTGTATGTATATTATATAAAAGAGAAAATTTATTTGTTTAATTTTTAGTATATGTATGTATGTATGTATATAACAATATAATAATTTAATGAAAAAATTTAATTTATTGGTGATAACTGATTTTAAAACAAATTTATTATTTTAAATTTTGATAAGTTGAAATGATTTTTTTGTTTTTCTTTATTAAAATCCTTTATTATTTTATGCAAAAAAAAAAAAAAGAATTTCTGAAGTTTGTTCCAAATAAATATTAAGCAAATTTTGAAAAAATGTCCGTAAGAGGAATACTAAAAGAAAGAAAAAAAAAAAAATATTCGACCTTTAAATAAAAAAAAAAAAAAAAGAAACGACTTTCTATTGATATTTTGTTCATGAACCTTCGTCAAACCCAAACAATAATATTAATTCCGTCCCTTCTCAAATTATAGACGGCCTTCAAACTTCTCACTTATTTCCTATATAATACATGATATATCTCAACAGGTAAATTAAAATTCCCTCAATTTTATTCAGCTTTTGAATTTTTTGTTACAACCACTTCTCCATCAACCTTCTCAAACCATTCCTCTGGCACTATCATTAGCTGCCTGCCAATTGTACCAAAACATACACACGATGAATAAAGTATGCACTAGAATGTTGAAAAGAATTAGTTAAAACCCATAAATCTTTCTTTCCTCGGACCATTTAAAAAATAAAAAAAATTTACAAACCGGAATCCATGAACGTACACCAAAAAAATCGGCGTGCGTAAAACTATTTTAAATGAATTTTTTTATTAAAAAAAAAAAAAACTATCGTCGAAAAAGAATGTTTAATTTAATCTCTTACCTATAAATCCCGTTTGAAACGAGCATGTACATAACACCCGTTCCTATCGAAGAGAACAATGCGGACATCATAAATCCATGTAAAGTACGATCAAATAAGAACCACAATACAATTGAAATCAGTGCCAATGTGCAAGACACCTGATAATTGCTACTCCATGGTAATTTCTATTTACAAGAAAATTCAATTATTAAAGTTAAAATTCAATGTTTACTGAAATATTTGAATCAAATAAATGACTAACCGTTGCAGCATATGCAACCCCGATGAAACCTCCCATGCATCTGATACATACAAATAAAAAAAATAATTAAGAACAATGTTTAAAAAAGTTAAGACATAAAAATAAAACCCAGTTTTATTCCACTGACCTCATAACATTACTCCATTCCCTTTGAAAATCTTGTGGTTTTCGCATAAACCAATAATCAGCTAATGGAAATAACGATCCTACTAATACTGCAGAGGCACCGCATATTGGTGGAATCCAAGCAGCAGTATCAATTAATTTTGTAATATCTTTTGGGTATTCCGTTATATTATTTTGTGTAAGTAAATGATCGATTACGAAAGAAGTGAAAGATCCAAGTAGAAAGAGAGTCAATAATCTTGGAGGATAATAACTTAAAATTTCAGGTTGAGAAAAGTTATCATTGGTTGCAAGTTTAGTTAGTCGTGGTACAGCGCTCATATTTGATGATTTAAGGTTTCCTCGAGAATTATTTGTAATTTTTCCAACAATTTTTGATTTATTAAAATGAATTCGTGAATTTGAATTTGAAGATTTTGACCTTTTATGTATGCGTAAAAATTTTGCTTGTTTCACAACCCTTGATAAACTTGAATTTTGTGGGGTTTTATTAATAGTTGCAGCTTTAATTAATGATTCAATTGATATAGAAAATGTATCGTCTAACGAATTAGGTTCGGGTGAAAAATGTGACGTAGGATGACAGACAGACATTGTAATTTGATTTTTGAGTTTGAATTCTAAAGGTGACGAATTTTAATAAAAAATATTTTTTTTTTTTTTTGAGGATGAATCCCCAATTAGCGTAGCCATTTTATGTAAAAAAAAAAAACACTTGAGGTTAGATAATATAAACAGGTTTTTATTAGTCAGTAATTTAACTTATAATCGAATGTTTAATGCGGAATGAACTACTTGCTTTGGCAAGGATCCTTTCAAGTGCACAGTTGTACTCAAGAATTACTTAGCGGGAAAACTCTAGAATGGAATATTTCAATTGTTTTTATACACTCAAGATAATCCATCTACCTTTAAGAAATTATCCCAAATTCTCAAGATCCCGAATTTAATACATAAAATAAGTTAAAATCAAGCTTTATGTCATTTGATTAAATTCATTGAGATCACTCGTTGATAAATATCGTACGATGTTTTTAAAGTGAGTGATGAATAAATAAAAGATATGCGTTGAATATAAAATACAAATGCACATTTTGTTTGGCCCAAACAAAATCATGTCATTTCTTTCTTTGAAAAAAAAAAAAAAATAATGGCATGATTTATTTTAGCCGTTAAACTATTTTGATGATTTACTTTAAAATCCTTTGTTTTCTTATAACAAAAGAAAATCTAACCAAAATGATCGGAATTTTTTCTTTATTAACCCGATGGCTAAAGATTTGGCGAAAGTTCTAGATCAATAAATAAAAAAAGTAAATAAAACACGAAAAAGAATGAATGTCGAATATCCAAATCTGGGAATAATTAATTTAACATTAACATTGAGGAATTCCAAAAAAGGAATTGAACAACTTAAGGTAAAAATAAGTTTTGCATTTAGCCCATTTTTCTTTTAAAAATTAAATTGCTTAATATAAATTGAAAATTATTTTATAAACGTATTTATTTTTATGGTGCTTCGAAGATAAAAAATATATCTAATATGAAAAATTTTAAATTATATATGCCGTAAAAAAGGATTTATTTCGAATAATTTTAGATAATAATAGGCAGGATAATTTCCTACCGGTCGAAACAAAATTCCAGGTTAATTTTTTTTTAATCTTGTTAGCATGCCACGAACTAAATTAGGTTAAATTTCGGGTTTGATTTCTTTCTTTTTTTTTTTAAAAAAAAAAAATATCTTAATCATCATAAAAATTATCTTTAGCAAATGGTTTCTTTTCTTTTAACTACCATTTTATTGACCCGTTTGTTACATTCTCTACATTTTCAACGGGTTGAGGTCATGGGAAACATGGTCTGCATTGGAAATGCTTGGGACATAGAAAATGTGCAATGCCATAATTTGCATGTTCGAAAAGATTTTCGTTTTTAATAAAATGCTCAATCTATATATAACTTCAGAAATTCAACTTGGCTTTTAGCTACAAAAGCATCCTATGCATGAATATTTAACTTGGATATTTGTGAGGATTGCGTATCACTTTTATAAAATACTTTTTGAGTATTTCGAACCATTTGAAAATGTAGAATCCATTTTCAAATATACAATCGATTATCAAAATGATTTTGAATATCGAAAATCATTTCAAGATTAAAAAAAATTTTTTATCTGTAATGAACCATTTTCTCTTTGTAAATCTTTGGATAAGTTTTATAAAGGTTTCTTTTAGAAAGTATTTTGTTTTTTATTAATTTAAAAGTTTACTTTTTAGTGATTTAGGAACTTCCTTTTTCCTTTATATTTTAAGATAAGTCTTGTAATGCATTTTTATGAAAGGTATGTTCCTTTTTCCAGTGATGGGTCATTAGAAGATTTCTAGGAAAGGCTCGGAGAATTTTTTGAAAGCCTGCCATATTTGTTTTAGCCACTTTGATCCGCCCGCTCAATAATTGAGTCGATGAATATTGTGTGATTTTTTAATTTGAGTTCATTTAGGTAATTTAAAGGTTCAAAACTCAAAAACTTAGATTTGAATACAACCATTCTCACAACAGAATTATTATAAAGTAAGGAGTGTGCTTTATATGAAGGTTTATATTATATCCAAATAGTTCAAATAAACAATTGGACAATTGGACTTAATCCAATTGCTAACTACTTTTTTAACCAATTAAAATATATAAAACAATATATTAAAAATTTATAAAAGAACTAAAATATAAATTTTACTTATTAATTTTCGCCTATGACAAAACTTTTCAAATAACTAGATGCTAATAATGATATTTTGAATTTAATTTAGTAAATAAAGTTTATTGGATCCTTAATTAGTCCATGTCCAATTGTAAGTTCAATTGATTAATTGAACAATTGGACACAAATATTCAATTGGACTATATCCAATTGTCCAATTGTCTAAATTCGTCCAATTCATCAATTGGGAGACGGTCAGTAGAAATCCACTTTTTAGTTAAAAATTTTTTTATTGGTTCACTCTGCCGATCATGGTCATGTGAACAAGAGCCCTGTTCATTTCTGGATCGGATCGCTCGGATCGGCAAAATCAATAACCAATAAAATTGTAGCTATAATTGAGCACAATTTTTTGATCGGATCGATAGTTATTTTGTTTTATTGGATTTTTAAAAATTTTTGGTTTAGCGGGTATTGGAGTAGTATTAGTAGTAGGTTCTATCGGTGGTATAAAAATTCTTATGGTTTTGGGGCAATTGAACGAGAGTTAGACATTTTAAATTAAACGCGGCAAAATTTAAAAAAAAAAATTTTGCGTTTATCGTTATCTCATAAAATATTAAAAATCGATCAAAGGTGAGTAACAAAAATGTTTGATCGTGTTGATCGCTCACCTGATCGTTTCAGTAGCCAATAATTTTTGATTTCAATTTCCAGTCGATCAGGTCCGATCTAGAAATGAACAGGGCTAAAACAAGCTTAATAACTAAAATTTGTAGATTTCCCACTTTTCTATCGACCGCCTCCCATATTTATAAAAATCTTAAATATGAATGCAATTATAAATATATTTATTTATAATTTTTTATAAAATATATAATATTATGAAAGAATTTAGAATATAATTTTATTAAATCAATTATTTAAAAAAAATTTATATGTATATATGTTTTAATTTTAAAATGAATATTTATTTATAATAATTTATAACAAATCTGATTTGTATAAAAAGTTTTATTAAAAATTAAGATGCTCAAAAATTCTATAAAAATTATATTAAAAAACCAATTTTTTACTATCATCTCTGATTTTTGATATAACCATTTTATAATAGGAAGGAAGATTAACTTAAAATAATTTTTTTTAGAGTTACTAGCTATAGTATTTTTCCTTTAAGAATACCTTTAAAAATCTGGATATTTTATGAGACTTGGATAAAATTCAATTTTTAGATTATAGAAGGTTTTGTATAAGATCTAGTATCTATAAAGTTCTTAGTTAAATTTAATAAATTTAATAAAAAAATTTTCTACAAAATTAATTGTTAATTTGCTAATTTATTAAATATACTATTTATTTAAAATTTGATAATATATAAAATTATTATAAAATTATAAATTTTTATTAAACATTT